ATGCCAGTTTCACACACCCATTGCATTAGTTTTACCTCCGAACTACTCGCAGGAGTGTTTATACACAACGCAATAATGCAAATAAACAAAACTTGCCATTACTACAGTCATATCAACCCAAATTAAACATTTTACTGTGATTTAGTTGCAATAAATGGATTAAACTGATGCCGAAACTACATCCAATTTGTTACAAATATTAAGTCATGCTATGTCAGGTCTGTCTAACAAGATTATAAGCAAACAACTTTTAAAATGCATGAATAGAGTTCGTATCGATCAGAGCTATGCTATGCTAACTTATTTCACAGTAAAGTACAACAATAGCTGGAATCAAGTAACAGACATATTTAAAAATGTCATCACATGCGATAGAGCGTTGCATGTGATTTTGAGCATGGTCGCGTCCAGCGTGCTGCCCGGCAGGAAGTTACGTCTTTGCATTGACTTTGTATGTAAATGTGTGACAATGTATGACAAAGGAATATTAGTAACATGAGAGGCAAATATATTTGTTACTCACTGTAAGGTTGTATATTGTTTGATGCACAATGTGGTGAAAGTGTTTTTTTTGTTGTTCTACTGTTCAATATGTAATTCAAGTGCACCTGAAGAACAGGAAAACGTATGGACACACATAGTACATAATATTTTGCTGTGCTTCTGTTTTCAATGTACAGTGGGTACGGAAAGTTTCAGACCCCTTTAAATTTTTCATTTCATTGCAGCCATTTTCCAAAAATCAAAAAAGTTCATTTTATTTCTCAGTAATGTACATCTTGACAGAAAAAAACAGAAATGTAGAAATTTTTGCAAATTTATTAAAAAAGAAAAACTGAAATATCACATGGTCATAAGTATTCAGACCCTTTGCTCAGTATTTAGTAGAAGCACCCTTTTGATCTAATACAGCCATGAGTCGTTTTGGGAAAGATGCAACAAGTTTTTCACATCTGGATTTGGGTATCCTCTGCCATTCCTCCTTGCAGATCCTCTCCAGTTCTGTCAGTTTGGATGGTAAACGTTGGTGGACAGCCATTTTCAGGTCTCTCCAGAGATGCTCAATTGGGTTTAAGTCAGGGCTCTGGCTGGGCCATTCAAGAACAGCCACGGAGTTGTTGTGAAGCCACTCCTTCGTTATTTTAGCGGTGTGCTTAGGGTCATTGTCTTGTTGGAAGGTAAACCTTCGTCCCAGTCTGAGGTCCAGAGCACTCTGGAAAAGGTTTTCGTCCAGGATATCCCTGTACTTGGCCGCATTCATCTTTCCCTCGATTGCAACCAGTCGTCCTGTCCCTGCAGCTGAAAAACACCCCCACAGCATGATGCTGCCACCACCATGCTTCACTGTTGAGACTGTATTGGACAGGTGATGAGCAGTGCCTGGTTTTCTCCACACATACCGCTTAGAATTAAAGCCAAAAAGTTCTATCTTGGTCTCATCAGACCAGAGGATCTTATTTATCACCATCTTGGAGTCCTTCAGGTGTTTTTTTTAGCAAACTCCATGCGGGCTTTCATGTGTCTTGCACTGAGGAGAGGCTTCCGTCGGGCCACTCTGCCATAAAGCCCCGACTGGTGGATTGCTGCAGTGATGGTTGACTTACTACAACTTTCTCCCATCTCCCGACTGCATCTCTGGAGCTCAGCCACAGTGACCTTTGGGTTCTTCTTTACCTCTCTCACCAAGGCTCTTCTCCCCAGATAGCTCAGTTTGGCCGGACGGCCAGCTCTAGGAAGGGTTCTGGTCGTCCCAAACGTCTTCCATTTGAGGATTATGGAGGCCACTGTGCTCTTAGGAACCTTAAGTGCAGCAGAAATTGTTTTGTAACCTTGGCCAGATCTGTGCCTTGCCACAATTCTGTCTCTGAGCTCTTCAGGCAGTTCCTTTGACCTCATGATTCTCATTTGCTCTGACATGCACTGTGAGCTGTAAGGTCTTATATAGACAGGTGTGTGGCTTTCCTAATCAAGTCCAATCAGTATAATCAAACACAGCTGGACTCAAATGAAGGTGTAGAACCATCTCAAGGATGATCAGAAGAAATAGACAGCACCTGAGTTAAATATGAGTGTCACGGCAAAGGGTCTGAATACTTATGACCATGTGATATTTCAGTTTTTCTTTTTTAATAAATTTGCAAAAATTTCTACATTTCTGTTTTTTTCTGTCAAGATGGGGTGCTGAGTGTACATTACTGAGAAATAAAATGAACTTTTTTGATTTTTGGAAAATGGCTGCAATGAAACAAAGAGTGAAAAATTTAAAGGGGTCTGAATACTTTCCGTACCCACTGTACATTATGCTGTGGTTACTTCTGTATTTTCTATATCGATATGGAGAAATTTCCTATACTTGAAGATACTGTAATTTACCTGATGTCAAATTTTAAGTACTGCCTATGTTGAGGATGCAGAATACATCCTGCAATAGAGCTGAACACAAGCTAACACTTTCTGCCTCATACAGACTGTTGCAGGATTAAGGAAAACACCCATTCCTGGCACCCACCATGCCAGGAGGGCAATACATTGTCCTACATAGTTGTAAACCATGTTGGACCACACTAGTCTTTTCTACTTACAAGCTTGATAGCCGACTTGCTGGCTGGCTGACTATGATAACTTCGGCACAACTAGTTGATGTAGTCTGACATTTCAAGGTTTACATTATTGTTTTGGAGTTGGAGGAACATTTACACTGTTTCACTGCATTATGTTTATGAAAAATATGAAGAGATACAAAGTGGATAGTTATCTTTTATCATCTCTGTCTTCTTCAGACAGGTACAAACTGTATTGTTGAAGCAGCTGCCTTTGCTGCTGCATCAACATTATGTTGCTACACAACAAAGAAATGTGCTATGAGCTTCAATGTGAGATGGAGTCGATATCAAATTGATATCTAGTAAACTCTTAGAATAGGCTAAGTGGTACTGTGAAATTATTAGGGCTGTCCATGTTAACGCGTTGTTATTGCATTATTATCGCATTAATTAATTAACGCAGACAATTATTTTATTGCACGTTAATGCAGTTTTTATTATTATTTTGAAAGTCTGTTACTTACTGGCTCTGAATACATATACAGACAAACCATCGGGTGAGGTGTTGATCATCCTGAAAATCACCCACCCAAACAAGCAGCGGAGGGAGGCTATGCTGGATGCAGCGTATGGAAGAAGTAGCTAGATAAACAAAAGCAAGATAAGTGATCAAATAGCAGTGCGAAGTGGATAGTTACCCACTACATGCTGATTAGTGTTGGGGAAGATATCAGTCTTAGAAACGTTCTTAAAATTACAACCTAGTCGCTTGGCCACGCGGAGTTGCTCCTTGCTCCGGGGATCAGAAGGGGAGACAATCGACAAGTGAACACCAGGCGCTCTATGGATAGGAACCATGGCAACGGCTTCTGTGTGCTACACAGCTCTAGCCTATTTAACTTAAGTTAAAATTATAGGCTACATACTTTACCTGATAGACCTACATCTAGTTATGCAGGGTTGCTTAGCCATGTAAATTCCCTTTGTTGATGTCCTATTCAGTAAACAGTAATAGATTCTGGAAACTCATAAACAGCGAGGATCAGTCTATCTTCCAGTGATTTGTGCTGCGCGTCGTGTACAAAAAGTTCAAGACAATTCAACTTCGGCAGCGGCCGGGCATGTGCGTGAGGAGACCACTTCACCTCACTCTAACAGGGACACTTGCTACTGAACATAGATTATGCTGCTCCCTGATAAAAGAAAAATGTTTCTGCTGATACCAGTTCAGAAAAAAAACCAAGAAAACAGATTTATATATGTTAACCTGTTGCTCAGAAGGTGCCTGTTATGATGTTCGGATCGTGGCTCTGGATTCTTCTTTTAATTTTCTATGATTAATTGTGATTAAAATTTTTAATCAATGTCCAGTACTAGAGATTATTGTCAAAACTTCATAAGCAGGGTTGATGTTAACAAGGTACTAGTAGTAAATGTACCATTGTTTCCAAAATGCTGCTTACAAGTTTGAATCTGTAGTTGCAGTTACTTTTGCTGAAAGTGCTGTTATCACTATATATTATATATCATGTAGAGAAGTGTAAGGGCCCTTTTTAGTGTATGGTATTTTGTTGGGCTATGCACAGGTTATGCGGCATTTTGTTTCATACACTGCCTATTTGGTATTTTGGTGATTTGTTATGAATTTGACAAAAAAGGGAGGTATGGCACAAAATAAGTTGAAAGTGCATGACATGAAACGTGCAGGTATTTCATGTTATTTTCATCATTTGACCATTGTATGTGACAATGAAACAATTCCGTTTTGGAACTCACAATATTAAAAAAAAGGGTATTTCCGTATTTGCTCATGTTTCCTTTTAGAGAATTGTTTTGGTGGAAAAGCTCACACTGTTTTCTTCCATCACAACACTGTCACAGCTTCATTACAGAGTCCAGTGCCTTTGGTGAGAAAAAGGGTTAATATGATTGGCCTTAAACAAAGCCATGTCACCACCCTTTGTGTTTGCACCATGTAGTGCTGACTGCACTCTGTATCATGCTCCACTCTGTTCATACTAAAGTATAGGCCTACTCAAATTGGAATGAACTGCGATACAAATTTTTTGTTAAAGGACCATCATCTTCTTGAGGGAATTGAGAGTTTAGGTTTAGGTAATGATTAAGATTTAAATTGGGTGTCATTGTTCATTACTATATATATATGCAATTCTTCTATCACCTTCATAGTGGACATCTACTAGTCTAGTAGTTCCAGTGTCTGCCTGTTGACTGTTCACTAGTCTGCGCTGTCTACATTAATGCGCTGCTACATAGCATCAGCCTGTATCTAAAATGAGTAACCATAGGAACAGGGACACAGTAAAAGCCTCCATTCACAATTATATTTGTGTATTTATTAATTTAATAATTCCTGATAATGGACACCTCATAGGGCATTATACCTTTGTCATTTTCATTTTCCTTTCAGATCTATTGCTATTCCTATAGATCATTATTAGCCTACTGCAGAGACTTAATAAACAGTGATCATTTATATTTCTGTATTTACATGTAGCCTATTGATTCGTTCTATATTTGTAGTTTGTGGAATGCATTAAGTCTAAAGGAAAATATTCCATAGTGGTTTATATAACATTATAGATACTGGAGGGACTCCTTTTTGACCTATAGATATTATTGTCTCGTATTTGTATAATAGTCATAAGATAAAAAGGGGCAGTACAATGTCATGTTTGTACCTGGACGCAGAAGTACTGTATCATGAACAGCCTATACAGTATCCGTCCACATTTCCGTAGAGGTCCCCCTCTTAGCGGCTGCTGCAAGCTCATTTGATTTCTAAGCAGTGGACTACAGCGCAGAGTGGACATGAAGAGACTGCCTGTGCACTCGTGTACAGCAACAAAACAGCCCGCACACGAGCTAAGGGTGAGGACAAGGAGAAGTCGCTTTGCTGGTGATCAGTAAAGCAGGATGCTTCTGTGCTTGGATGAATGAGGATGCTGACGCTGTATGCTGCTCGCCGTTCTGGAGACGTGCGGCACTCTTCACTCCGCTTGGTCACACTGTAGTTATTGTAGTTACAGAGTCTGGACATTTTCTTTATACTCTCTCCTCTCCTGTTGGAATTTGTTCTCGCTGGATGCCGGGATGCCTGCTTCTCCTCTCGTCACACCTTCCCTGGGTAAGTTCAGTGCAGCTCCAGCTGATCACTGATTTTATGCTGAAGACTATTAGCATATCAGTGTGTGTGCTCGCGTGTGTGTTATCAAGAAAGCCAATATCAAGCTGGCTGTTGAACATAATTATTGTAGTATTTATCGTCATTGTCCCTGCTGCTCTAATTGTTACAACTGTTAACTGAGTTAATGCCGACGCTCAGCGTTGTGCCTTCTGAAGAAATGAATGAATGTCAAGGACACTATTTTTGTCTTTGGTTCTCAAGTCAGAAGCTAGCAAAAAAAATCATCTTGGACTGATTTGCCCGGTAAGAATTTGTTTTAAGGAATCCTATCTCAAACGTGCAGCCTCTAGAGACTTTGTTCCTGCAGTGGCTTTGTAAGAATGGATAGTAACAGCTAGCTGGAAACCACAGAACAAAGCCTCATATCTGTCATGTTACACTGATGCTCAGCCTAGAGTTGCACCACTAGCATATCATTGCTGCAAAACAACTTCTGGCTGTCAAATGTACCTTCTCAGGGTTTACCATTTCACTCTTCCTTGATCTTTACATCTGATGTCACTGTTCCAGAGGAAGCATACAATCTCTCTTCCTCACTGTTCTTCTGTTTCTCTCTCTCTCTCTGTTGTGCTCAGTCCAACTATATATGTAAATATATATTACATATTTTTAATGTGGTGCAAAGGAAATAAATCTCTTAATCAGCTCTACACATTTTACCACACTTGTTTACTTTGTTGACAAAACACATCATGAGTAGATCCACTGTGAAATGTGTGTCTATAGAAAATGAACGGGCTTCTCCTTGGTTTCCACTGCATGCTTACTAACACAAACCTGTGTTAGTAAGCATGCATCAGAGATGTGAGCATATCCCAGCCTTGCCATCGCAACCGCACAGGGCTATGACATCACAATTAATTCAGTTGTCCATGGGGTGATGGGAGCTTTCATTAGCTGCATTATGGGAGTGAGTTCGACAGGGCATGGCAAAAACAGCATGTTCTATCTCATGGCGCTGCCTGCATAGCATAGTTGAAAACTTGTCCCTGCTTCTGCCACAAATGAAATGCAGCTGAATAAATCTGATGGAGCAACAATTAGATTAATTATAATAAATTTATTTATAGAGCGCTTTCAATCAAAGTGCTTTTCAAAAACAATACAATTAAATACAAACAGTACAATAAAATTTACATTGAAACACTGAAAAGTAAATACCACTATACAAAGACATCAAAGATAAATGAACATTTAGGACTCATACACAATAGTGAATAAGTAGGTCTTTATCTTTGATTAAAAAATCTCAATAGAGATGATCCAGTCAGAATACGTGCAGCAGAATTCTGTACCATCTGCAAACCTCGCAAACTTTTCTTAGGCAGCCCAGAGAACAGTACATTACAATAGTCCAGCCTAGATGTAACAAAGGCATGGATAAGGGTCTCAGCATCTTTAAGTGCCAATATTGATCTAATATTTGCGATTCTTCGGAGATGAAAGAAGGCTACTTTCTCTTTAATATGCAAATCAAATGAAAGTGATCAATCAAAACGACCCCAACATTCTTTACTCTCTCCTTGCAATGAATGACCAAAACATCAAAGTATAGAGTAAAATTGTCATACAAATGACCTAATCCAGCTGGTCCAATAGCTATCATCTCAGTTTTGAGAGAGTTGAGTAGCAATAAATTTGCTGATAACCAGCTCCTCACAGCAGCCAAGCAAGTCAATAACTTAACCAAATCAGATGCATTTCCTGCAATAACTGGCATATATATTTGTAAATTATCAGCATAGCAATGAAAAACAATCCCAAAATAATGGATGATCTGACCCAATGGCGCTTAAGTGTAACGAAAACAGCAGTGGACCAACGACTATGGAACCCCGTGGTGAAGTGGTGAAGGGTTGGAAAATGTGTTGTCTTTCTGAAAGGTAAGATCTCAACCACTTAAGCACACTTAAGTGGTTGTCCAATTTTCCAACGAGTTTGTATCCAGATTTGGTTTCTTCAGTAATGATTTAACCACTGCCGATATGAAGCAAGCCGGAAAAACTCCTGTGGAGAGCGAAAGCTTTAAAACAGCTAAAACATACAATCCTAATGTTGGCCATAGTTCTTTAACAACCCAGCCAGGCAGGTAAGGGACCCAGAGAGCAAATGGTACCTCTTGCAGTCACAACAATTTTAGTTAACTCAGCCAAAGAAATCGGCTCAAACTCAGAATGGCCCTGTCCTGTAGAAAATGGATCTGTGGTAGCGCAGTCTAATCCCCCAACATTTGACTGGGGTATCGTAGTTTGGATCTCCTCAACTCTCTCATAAAAATACATCATAAAATCAATCGTTCAACTTTTCTGCAGCTCTTTCTGAGAGTCAGTAACTCCTCATTTAGCCAAGGTGTATGATTTTTTGGAGGACACTTCCGTGTCTTAGCTGGAGCCACCCACTCCAACAAATCCTGGAGTGCACCATTAAAATTGTCTGTTCAATTCAATTTTATTTTATTTATATAGCGCCAAATCACAACAACAGTTATTTCTGAGCAGGTCTAGACCGTACTCTGTGATGATATTTACAGAAACCCAACAGTTTCCACCAAGAGCAGCACTAGGCGACAGAGGCAAGGAAAAACTTCCTTTTAAGAGGCAGAAACCTCGAGCAGAACCATGGCTCAGGGTGGGCGGCCATCTGCCTCGACCGGTTGGGATGGAAGGAGAGAGAGGGGGGAGGGAGGCAGCCTACACAATATACACACACAGATACAGACAGTAAAGGTGATTCTATAGACTGAATGAATAATGGTGCAGATATGTTTAGTAGTGTTAATGATAATAATCGCAATGTTAGTGAATATAATAACAATAATAATAATAGGACTAGTAACAATAATTGTAGCAGAGGGTGTCGAGCAGGAACACAGGGGCAGCAGGTGAACCGCAACCACAGATCCAGACTCCACAGCTCCAGAGCCAGAAAACCTGCAGGAAGTGATAGGAGGAGAGAGGAGAGGGACGAGAAAGCACAAGACTACCGGAAAGGGGAGAAGTTGTGTTAGTAACATGCAATAATGGGATGAGGTTGCATACAGAGGGAGAGAAAGTGGAGGAGAGAGGAGCTCAGTGCATCATGGGAAATCCCCTGGCAGTCTAGGCCTATAGCAGCATAACTAAGGGATGGTTCAGGACTCACCTGAGCCAGCCCTAACTATAAGCTTTATCAAAGAGGAAAGTCTTAAGCCTACTCTTAAATGTGGAGATGGTGTCTGCCTCCTGAACCCAAACTGGAACCTGGTTCCACAGGAGAGGAGCTTGATAGCTGAACGCTCTGGCTCCTAGTCTACTTTTGGAGACTCTAGGAACCACAAGTAACCCTGCATTCTGGGAGTGCAGTGCTCTGGTGGGGTAGTAAGGTACTATGAGCTCTTTAAGATAAGATGGTGCCTGACCATTAAGAGCTTTGTATGTGAGAAGAATGATTTTAAATTCTATTCTGGATTTTACTGCAGCATTGTGGATCAGCTGAAGAGTCTCCCCCTATGTAGGGAGCTCATTCGCATTATTAAAACAACAGTTTCGGACACTACTCCAATCGTTATTTCGGCCCCATTAATTATGTCATTGCCGTTGGACAATCAGTTTTTTTCTATCAGCGCAGTGCATGATGGTATATATGGCTTGGTTAATGACCATCGGTTGTACACTACTTTTCAAAATGCATTCTGGGATACAATGAGTGGACTATATAGGGTATAATAATTATCACTATGCGTTCGGACAGCACTACAAAATGGCGAGCTCACTATATAGTCCACTATATATAGAGCACTATTGCTAATATATCGAGATAATCTTGTCTTCTGCACCATTTTCCCCATACTAAATGAATTGTCAAATAATATCAGCGAGTGATCTGAAATTGGTGAAACACTGATATTATTAAATGACACAGACAAACCATAGCTTAAAACTAAATCTAATGTATGTCCACGATGATGTGTGGGTTCAGACACAAATTGCGTGAAACTAAAAGACTCAATGACATTTAAAAAGCTTATCATCACAACAAATATGGATATTAAAATCCCCAACAATTAAAATCCTCTCATACTGAAAAATAAATCTGGATAAAGTCAGAAAAGTCAGAAATAAAGTGATCATTGTACTTTGGTGGACGATAGATTGCAGCAATCAAAACCACAGAAGGTTTATTTACAGTGAAAAGCTGCGATTCAAAACTAGAATAAGGATCACAGTTTAAAATCTGTTTGCATTTAAAATGTCCTTAAAAAGTGAGACATTCCCCCTTCCTCTTCCAGAAAGTCTCGGAGTGCTGAAAAAGCTGATGTCAGGGGGACATAAAATTCCATCAGAAGTTCCATCAGAAGTTCCATCAGTGGCGATACATCACCCTCATGCATCCACGTCTCTGTTAAAAAATTTGCAAAGAACAAATGTCTTGTTAGACAATAACCAGACATTCAGAAGAGCCATCTGGACCTTTATTCCTTCATCGACCGGCGATGTAGTGCAATCCAATACATGCAGGTTATCCACACACACACCACCTCCTCTGTGTTATGAGTTTAGTTTTGGGTTATGTTTGTTTTGTATTTTTCCCTGTGTTTCTGGTTTTGCCATTGTTTCAAGTGTCTATTTATTTGTCTCTGTTTCTATAGGTCGATGTCCCTATTTATTTATGTCTTGGGTCTTAGTCCTGCATTTTAGTTCTTTGCCTCAGTTCTTAGTTCTGTGCTTTAGTTCATGTTAATGTTATTCCTGGTCTGTGTATTTCTTTGTTTCATTATTTGATCTTGTCTTAAGGGTTGTAGCTTAGTTTATTCAATGTTTATCTGCATGGTTTGTACCTGTTCGAGTCCTTAGCCCTATGTCTCCATATTTTAGTGTAGTCCTGTCTCCTGTTTGGTCCGTACTCAGTCCATGCCCTGATTTTGCAGTCTTTCCATATTTTGTGTTTTACTTTGGTAGATC